ATAGTACTATATATATATATATATATATATATATATATATATAAAATATAAAATTTTATATATATATACATATATATGTATATATGGATATAAGTATATATATGTGCGAATGGATAAATTATGCATGTATTATGTATGTATGTTATGTATGTGGGTGTATTATGTATGTTTTATGTACGAACGTAGATGTACGCGTCTGAATATATGGTCCCTTTTACTATATATGCCTTTTTTATCTCATACATTCTCCAAACAAGCAAACAAACGCAACCATCCACTTCTGCTCTATCACTCAATCGCGCGTGTGCATATTGAATATACACACAGTGTTGTGAAGGGTTCCGTTGAATCCAGGAGGTCCGTTGAATCGATAAGAAAATAGTAGAGTATTCGAAAACGACACTCAAATACAGATAATGACTAAATATAAATTATTAATTATAGACACCGATTTCACGGCCTTCTGGATTAGGGTCGCGTGCAGAAATCAGGTTTCGTCGTAGTGGAAATCGTAAATTTAGCAGAGACTCTATCCAGAGGGCCGTGTCGATTTAAAATAAGTACACGTGATGGTATCCTAGATTTGTTTGTAATAGGCAAGTAACAAAATAAAGATATATGGCAAAACGTGCTGCTTGTAGATTTTTTTATTTTATTTCGTTTCTACTGAGAGGCCCCGGAGGCGGAGGGTCACGAAGTTTTTTAGATTAAAAATATGTACAAAGTCAAAACAAAAGTGATCGCTGATCACAACAAGTGATATTAAATATATAAGGCGATCCTCCTCCTCCAGCTCAAAATCGACCGATCGCACCATAGCCCTCTAAATAAAGTCTAAAGTCTAAATTGAACAATCGCACCGACGTCAGAATTCTTCGCTGATTCAAAATACTTGATCCAATGTACATTTATTTTTGCGATTTCCATTGGTTATTAGATTTTGACCCACAAGAGCGACCTGAAAAGTGAAAACTAAAGTCAATTTTTATGTAGTGGAACTCATTTCGTATATATATATTTTTATAACAAACAAAATACTTTATAGCAATTATTATATTTATAATTTTAGGAGGCTATGTGTGTATTTACTATTTATGGATAGTAAATATCTGCTAAATGTACAACCGCAGTACAACAGTAGTAAGACCAATGGAATGAGAGGATCAGGGGCCAGGGTCGATTCTATTGGGATTTTCTGAAATGTTTTGATTTTGTAAAAACCACGAGACTTAGAAAATTTCTGATATTTTGCACACAAATTTACAAATACAAAAACATACGTGAGTGTACACATATACACAGAAACTACCGGATTTTGCCACGTCAAGCACGCGTTATAAATAAATTTCTTTCAGATGATATAACTTTTAATGCTGTTTTCTTGATATATATATATATGTCGAAGTTCGCAATGGCGAGATGGCGTGCATCTAAAACCGAGAAATTTTGGGGGGAAACGTATCACATTATATATATATAAATCAGGCTTATTTTATTGAATCTCTGCCATATCTTTATCAGGGCGACATGCTCTGCATATCGCTGTGACCGATAAAGCTGCCACATACGCGTCCTGAATTTTCTCTACAGCTATTTGAGCGCTATTTCAAGCTTCAACAGGGAATTTACTGACCACTTCTGCCCATCGATCTTCCCCGAACCACTACAACGGCTATGAGAGCCATACCATATGTACAACCATTGTAACTTAACTCCTTTAAAATAAATAAAATTATCCCTATCACCTCTGGCGATCAGCTTCTCCATAGTCCTCCAAAAGCATAGGCGCAAACTATTAGTGCAATTCACTCTACCTCGCTCACTACCAGTAAAGAAGCGGGCAGGTTTGCTCCCATAAAGTCCCGCGTCATACTTCTGCCATAGTTGCTACAGAGTTCTGATTCTTTTTTTAAGATAGGCTTCGCGAGAATCGTGGGGCTCATGCATGTCATTGTGCTGTATGTTGCTACCTGCTTCATTCTGTGCGTTTGCTGGGCGAGCGTTTCCTGCGGCAATATTGTTATGCTGGAAATTCGTACCGGCTTGTACTCGAAGTCGTAGTCTATTAGATTCATCCAAAATATCCTGCCTTAGCTTTCTGTGATTGTTCTTGAACACATTGTGATGCTGATCGATATTCATTTCCATATCCTCGATCATACGCTTAAAGTGGATAATAACCCCGCCTAAAGTTATAATCTGATTCTGCATATCGTGCAGGTTGAGATTGATAGGATTAACATTGTTAAACTTCTGATCAGCATCTTCAACTTCTTGGACTCTGAAGCCATCATCTCCAGCACGAATCACAACTGCAGGTCGTCGCCAAATTACCAACATCTTATTCTCATCACTTATAACCGGAAACAAATGTCTTACCACATCGTCACAATATTTGTGATACTCTACTGGTATTAAAAGGGACTCAGTTATACCTGTACATACCGAGATACAGTGCAACAATAGAAAGTATTATTTTGTGCTGGATATGAAAGCCAGGTAGGTCCTACACACCTGGTATAACCAACTTTAAGTCCTCATCGTTAAGATTGAAGTCTGCAGTATAAGACAAATAATGATAGTAAATACTTTTAATTTCAATATAAACATATTTACGAATAAGTGTGTCATATATAGATACACATAGTTTATTCATAACACTGATCAAAAGCTTACCTGAGTAGATCCTATAGTTGGAAGAACCTCGGGGTCCACATAAGGCCTCAGATACTTTAGCATCAGGATAAGGCATCAAAGAGCTGGAGTATCTATCGACCTGACGAGAAACCATTTTTCTGGTTCTGGCCCATCTGCCTCTACCTTCTGCATCATCTTTTGAGCGTCCACGTCTGTGAGCATATGTGCACGAGCACTTTCTGAGACTATCCATGCCAATTCCGTCGACTTCACCCTTAGCCACAAAGTTGTCTGGCCGTACAATTTAAGCAATCGCTCTCCTAGCCACATCTGGATTTTAATTTGTCATCCCGACCCACAGTCCCATTCAGAGTGCACATATATCCCAAATCCAACTGATCAATATTCGATGGTATTTTCCCTTGGTCAGGCCACTATTAAAATACTATGTAATAGGGGAGAAATACCGCCAGAAATCCATAGTATCTGACCGAAGGCTCATTTGTCAGCCAATGAGATAGTAGGCTACAGTCTAGAATCTCAGACAACTGTCCAGAGCAACAGGTACCGGTGTTAGAGTACAACGTTGTACAACCGACACAATATTTATGTATCAATAATAAATATTGGTTTGTTTTTGTTTGTATACATGTTTTTAAAAACAAATTATTAAAAAACATATCCAAAAAAAGGGTTTTACATCCATTTTTTTATTAAACGAACCGTATGTAGGATGAACTCACATGAGAGTTGAGACAATGAAGTGACTCAGGGCCCAGTCTGAGGCCTGCCCAGCTGCCCTGAGTCTGACTGCCTGAGCCCTGAGAGGCTGAGAGCCTGGCCCTGAGACCCTGGGGCCCTAGGCCTGGGTCGGAGCCTGAGCCCTGACTCATCTGAGGCCTAAGCCTTCTCTTTCTCTGACTCTGGAGTTTGACGCGTCTCTGAGACTGAGTGTAAATATATAGTACATTTATTTATATATAAAAATACGTAGTTACATTCTGTCTGTGAGCCTGTGACCCACTGACCCTGGGGCCTGGGCCTGGTGGTGTGAGGAGAGGATTCTCTATCGCTCTACATACTTTCTAGAGTAGGAATTATGAATCATGGATCGGTATTTGCTCTCAGATTGGTGAGCTTGTACTTTTTAAATAGGTTGGCCGATAACGATCTGTGATTGGGTGCAGTATAACAGAGTGTTAGGAAAAGCCTTGAAGCTACATTTTCGAGTAACACATAACTAATAAATATATATTTATTTATTACATATAACAGAACTGAGCCCTGAGCGGCTGAGCCTTGAGTCCTTGACTCCTTGAGTCTTAAGGTCAAACAGGCCACAAGCTCAGGCAAATAAGTATAACAACACTTTAACTTGGAACTTTGAGTTTGACTCCAATAACTCTCGAAGTCGAAAGTTCAAACTTCAAGTAATAAAACAAAACAATCAATGTGTGCAGCGACATATAGTCCTCTATTGCTGTAGTATGTTGATGTATCACACGACATATACTATTAATATCGCCACCTTTCAGCATTTCGAAGCTTGTACTAGTGGCCTGCTCCACAACAAATAAATTAGATAATGTTTTTGATGTTGCGCTTACGTGCTGTCCTATTAGCCTGCTTCATAACAGTTAACCTATTGTCGAGTACTGACTCAACCAGCATCGAACGGAGACAGCACGAAGATTTGAATAGAGGTAAGATTTAATAAATATTTCTATCTGTGTATTGTTGAAATATTTTATTGTCCGGCAGCTATTTGATATATTTTTCTGACTCTGTATTGTTGAAATATTTTATTGTCCCGCAGCTATCACGCATGAGATTGTTGGAACACATACCGAAGAGTATACGATATTCATTTCAAATCAACAAATACTACTGTGCATTTGTAGGAAATGTGTTCCAAAAAGTACGAGGCAAAGTGATAGCGTTCCAACACAGCGACAATTCTTTCTCCTTTTAATAGCAAATCATATCAAACAATTATTCAATATATTCTATCTGCATAGTCTCGACATATCCGAACAGAAAAAAACATACACACTCGTGTTTCACACACACACACACATACACAAACACACACACACACACACAAACACACACAAGAAAAACACACACACACACACATACACTATATATTTATACGTTTAAGTATATGTATATGTATATGTATGTGTATGTATATATATGTGTGTATATGTATATGTATGTGTATAATTATATGTATTTGTATATGTATATGTATATGTATATGTATATGTACATGTACATGTACTTA